GTCGTCGTCGAGGTGGTAGTAGTAGTAGTAGTAGTAGTAGTAGCAGTAGCAGTAGCAGTAGCAGTAGTAGTAGTAGTAGTAGTAGTAGCAGGAGTAGTAGTAGTAGTAGTAGTAGTAGTAGTAGTACAGTAGTAGCAACAGCAACAGTACCCGTAGTGGTCGTCGTCGTAGGTGCAGCATGAGCACTAGCAGAGGCATGTTGAATTTTTTATTTTCCGATCGCACATAACAACAAACTGAGTTTTGCCTGCTTCCTCTAGCATGACACAACCTCAGTTGCAATATCTATCTATATTTATGTATATATATATATATATTTCCTTTATTTATATTTATACTCATATTTATTTCTAGACTGCCTGATACCCGAAGACACAACCCCCGAAAGAAACACACGACGCCGGGAGAGGAGCCCGAGGTTGGCCATGCGGAGCGACGCTTCCGCGTCTCGGGAGGCCTCCGAGTCTCAGGCTTCATTAATGTGAACTGAAAATCTTAAAATGCTCTGATAATCATGATGAAGATACCGGTAATAAGGACATCACATGGTCTGCCGGAAGCATCTAAGGGATGTGTTGGAAGGTTTGGAATGGGGAGCAACGTAGATGAGATGTGGGTCTTCTTGTACATCATGATGTCATGACATGTCATCACCTTGGTCCGGAAGGTTCCGGTGCTTATCGGACTGTTGGTGACTTAAAGTTCCACCACGTTCAACCAGTTGAATGTCACCGAAGCATCCTGCATCCAAGATTTCTTCCCAAGAACCGAAGACTGCCAAAGTGAAGACAAAATTGCTAGTGTGGAACTCCGACATATTGAACCATCGCGAACCACATGGAGTGACAATGTGGCTGTTGATAAGACGTGAGTGGCTCTGTGTGGGAGAAGCCAGAATTTATTCTCACTCTCTCACTCTCTCTCACACTTTCTCACTCTCTCTCTCTCTCTCTCTCTCTCTCTTTCTCTTGGCTACAGTGATATTTGTGCTGCCTTGTGAATCAACTGAGACGAGGGATAACAAAGCAACGAAGGCATGAAAGTTAACTCCCCACCATCCCTCCGCATCCAACAGAATCCCAACGATGGTCCCTCACGTCTGTATTCAAGCTGCAAAAGCCTCGCTCCTACCTAACACCCCGTGCCCAATGCCCAACTGTTAAGCGATTCAATCTCCAGACCTGGCAGAAGGCTTGCCAAGGATTCGCACACTGTTTAAAAACATGGCTCAACTCACACTTCGGAACCGCGTAGGTTCTTGACTCGCCCCCAAAACCGTTCTTGCGGTTATTTCATCTAGGCTCCAACACGAAGAGCGCTGTTACACACGAAGGCACATTATAATTATAGTATAATATACTGCCAAACCCTAATCTAATTCTTAAGGCCCCTAAACCCTAAACCCTAAACTGAACAAAAATACCTTCGATTTCTTGTCGGAAGTCTCGGTGCCCGACCTCCGCCTGCAGCTGGGCCTTCGTTCCTGGTGATTGCGGGGCTCCCGGGACCACGTGACCAATGAGCAGCCGGGTGTACCCACAACGTACATACATACAGACATGCATACATACAGACGTACATACAGCCATACAGACATACAGACATGCAGACATACAGACATACATACAGACATGCAGGCATACAGACATGGAGATATACAGACGTACATGCAGACATACAGACATGCAGACATACAGACACACAGACATATATACATACATACAGACATGCAGACATATATACATACATGCATACAAACATACATACATACATACATACATGCATACATACATACATACATACATACATACATACATACATACGCACATACAGACATACATACATACAGACATACATACATACATACATACATGCGCACATACATGCACGCATACATGCACGCATACATGCATATACGCGTGTGTGTGTATATATATATATATTTATTTATATATGTATTTCTTTCTTACTAGTCTGGAGGGACAAACACAGATACCGCGTATGCATAACTGCAGCGAGGCAGGCAGAACATTCCCTGTGGCGAGAAGCACAACATTCGTTCATCATGAATACAGGTCAGTGTACAAGACACCATGCTCGCCTGGCTATGTCAGATTCGTTCAACCCAGTTGAAACAGGTTAACCTTAATTTGCGAAGCCACCGAGAATCCCACAAAGGCTGAGAGGTCAAGTATACCCACGTAACAGCAGCATCAGAAGCAGCTGTAGCAGCCGAGGTAGCAGCGATAGCCGCCGTCGTCGTCGTGGCAATAGCAGTAGCATTACAAAAACAATAAGGGCATACGACGAGGACGACGACGACTACTACTACCAACCACCACCCCTACTAGTGCCGTAGGACAAAAGTTTGACCTACTCCTTGTTTCGTTGGACACAGGCACTCCCCCATAGAATTCCAACGAAGAGGCCCAGCCGGGTACCCCTCTGGAACATTAAAGTAGCATAATTTATTGTAACACGGGGTAAACAATTCTCCGCTGGCCAGGCCACATAAATCTACGACTGCTACTACGACGACGACGACTACTACTACTGCTACTACTACGACTACTGCTGTACTACTACACTACGACGACTACTGCCACCACGACGACTCACGACGACGACTAGCACGTGTAGCTTTGGATTTTTACGCTTCGTGATGATGATGACGATGTTTTGGAACAATAGCGCTAATGCCGCACCTATTGTTGCCATTCCTGTCGTGTGCGACTCTGCTGAATGAAGGATGTTGAGTCTGTTGAGGTTCTCGTCGCCAAAGGGCACATAGTCATCGCTGCAGCTGCTAGTTGCTGCTAGTTCCTATGTAGCTCCGATGCTCCAGGCACGGACATCTCGCTCGGATGATATCAGCTTTCAAGGATCATGAAGGCCTCAATAGAAAGACAAGGAACGGCACGCCTGTTTCTGCAGACGGTATATGCGAATGCTCTTCTACATACTAGTAGCCTAGGTCGTCCGGGAATTTCAACTCGAATTGACCGTCAGCCGAGTAGCTTTTCTCTGTGCTGCCTCGATTTCGTGCCCGAGTGTTGACGCCCGTCGTTGGGACGCCTGATGGATGGGCACGAGTTGGGGCTTCTCCAACGCATCTCGTGTTTAGTTTCGGAGTTTGGCTGTTAGAATAGTCAGGGATCGAACCACCGAGAGCACAATTGACGTATCCTCGTTTAATTAACTGGTCCAACGAAGAGGGAACCCTGCAATTCTGCACTTGGGAATGAGAGCCATTCACAGATGACGCATCCTGCTCCTGCAGAAAACACGACTGCGCAATTTGGCACTTAGACGTTGGACATCACATCTTGGCTTGAAGCTTGGAAAGCTCGGTCCTCCGGTATCTCGCAGAGAGGAAGCATTCAGTGCCAGTTGATGTTGTTGCTGCTGTTCTGTTGCTGTAACATATACAGCTGTTGTTGCTTATACTGTTGCTGTTGCTGTTGTTGCTGTCATCGTCGTACTGGCTGTGGTGCCGCTACTTGTGCAGCATCAGCGCACGTGTTCTTGTTGGTGCTCTCTCTGTCTCTGGCTGCCTCTCTCTGTACATATACATAGTATGAACAAGTTCAGAACAAGTTCAATCACAAAGGTCTCTACCTGGCAATGTGACAGTCCGCCACGGCTGAGAGTGCGGCAACGCTGGTTCCCAGTCCAAAGCTGCAAGGCATTGATCGCCTGGTACCATTTTCACCACAGACAGCAACAAGCCTAAGACCAAGACATCCAACAGCAGACAAAATGCTAAAGACACTATCTAAACAGTCACACAGAAACACTTTAGCGTTCTGGGGCTCAATGCCTGTGCGCTTGCAACAGCTGTGCTTTAAAGTGGCAGTCTTGAGCAGTGGGAGCCAGCCGTACAGACTCAGTACTGCACAAAGCCCTTGGCAGTACGACTAGGTCCCAAGACACCCTCTTTACTCCAAGTTGTAGTCTCAGTACTGTACCTGCCGCAAGTCGCCGCCACTCTCAGCCGCAAGAGCCGCGGTGTTCGCGGCATTGGAAGGAAGGCCCTGGAAAGCAGGACTGAGGTTGACAGTCCAAGGGCTATAACCCAAATCGATGTACTGGCCTGTGCAGTTGTCAGGCTGTCGAGAGCTTTCTGCGCAAAAGTCCTGGCCGAGCGGAGTGCAAGGAGCAGCTTCTGGCAACTTGGAGTCCACCCTCAACAAACAGTTTGAAACATTCAGCACCCGATCTCCAGTGAGCGAACTCACAGATGCCTCGGCAACCCATCGAAGACGACTTGTGCCACGGCAGAGTAGACCACAGGCTGCAGAAGCCTGCAGAACACAAACACCGTTGGAAGCCGAGGCTTTTCCTGGCTGAATCGACAAGGCTGTACTTGCAGCCACCATGGCCTGGTGATGATACGATGGTCGTCACGCGAATCATTGAAGGACAGCCTTGGCGACAGCTTGCGTCGACTGCGACAAACTGCACTAGCACCAGTGCACCATATCGATGAATCCTGAATGCTCTCGTGCAGCATGCTCCTTGCATGCCCGGACCCTGCATTTCTTTTCCCGAGCTCCTTGCACAGCGCGCTGAACACTTCCAGCATTAATCATCGCCTTGGTTTCCAAGCTTGACTCCAGCGGCAAACCCCAAATCCCATGAAAAATCTTTAACAAGCCGTGTGAGCTCGATAAAATCTCAAGATCCATTGCTGTCGGCTCTTTGGTTCATCTGCTGCGATCAGGGCAGACTTCGCACCCATTAATTTGGGGATATCCTACTTACAGCTCTGCATCCCTCCAACTTACTAAGTCCCTTGACCTTTGACCCTCGAAGCAGAGTTGTAACGGGTCTCCGAGGCACTGCCAAGCGGTCTAGAAAAGACGTGGAGCTCTTGCTTGCGCCACCTCAGGCACACTCGCAGAAACAAGAAGTGAGATTGTGCGAAGTACGGGGGTGTGTGAGAGCCATAAACACTGAAATAAATCATTGTTGAAGGTCATGTGCCATTCGTTGGTAATGACCGTATAATCGCTGAACCGCGAATTACAGAAACCAAGCTAGTACAAAGTTGCGAGGACAAGAGGATGTGACTGATGTGACACTTTACCGTGCCCTGCTCTCGTCAGGAAGGCTTAATGCATTGTGCGCAACGCGTCGGCCACGGTGCTGTACCACAACCCCGAGACCTGCAATACGAAACGCACATGCACCTGGCCGTACAGAAATGAACCTGCCATGCGGTACCTCATGCCACGCAAAGACTGAAGGCATGCCTGGAGTCTTTTCCACGAGGGTGAACGGGAAGTCTCGCACCTTACAGTCGCATGCTTCATCAGTCATGACCTGGCACATCTTGGTCCTTTCTGCTCTCTTATGATTGACGGGTGCCACATCCAGGGCCATGAAGTAACCTTCAGAGGACTCTCATGGGCGCGAATACCCGCAGAACAGCTGGTGCTTCGTATGAGTATTGTTTGCCGTGATTTCGGACATATCGGCAAGCGGGGCCACAAGGGGGATTGCCCCGGTCTCTGGAGTTGCCATGTCAGTTCAGTGGTGAAAGTCCCATGTCCTACAGCCGTATGGCTTGAAAAAACTCAACCTGAACAGCAGCATTCACTACGGAGAGATCGAGCCCGGGCGATACGTGATCTTATCATGCGCAGCGCACGATCCGGTAGGACACCTATCTAGACGTAGCTTGGTACGCCCGGAGTTTTTAACACACACACACACATACACACACATACATGAAGCCCGTTCTTTAACCTGGGTACCTTTAAGCGGTTCATCTACTGTGGAATCGATCCCTTGATGTCTAAACTGCCATCAAACTTCAAAAACAAGCCCTCCTCTGCCGTTGACCAAAGAACTGAGGAGCGTACCAAGCTGACTCGAGGGCGCCCGGAAGGAGCAGCCTGATGGGGTTTAATAACAAAAGTACACACACATGTATTTTTATATAATTAAATAAAAATACATAAACAAATAACTAAATAGATATAAATATATATATGTATATATATATATATATAATGTATAGATAGTTTAGGGTTTAGGATTTCAAGTTTAGGTTGACCTAGGCCCTCGACTGTAGTACTTCTTTTCAATGCCTCTTTTAGTTGTTGCGGGAGAAGATTTTAAATCTACTTCGGTTTGGGAGTTTGAGATAGAAACCAGGTGAGCGAAAGTGGTGGTGGGTATGTATGTCCGTATGTATGTCCGTATGTATGTATGTATGTATGTATGTATGCATGTATGTATGTATGCAGGCAGGCAGGCAGGCAGGCAGGCAGGCAGGCAGGCAGGCAGGCAGGCAGGCAGGCAGGCAGGCATGCATGCACATGTATGTATGTGTATATGTTTATATGCACATACATATGTGTGTATACCTATACATATCTACATATACATATACATATATATATATATGTACATATATATATATATATGTATATGTGTGTATGCGTGGTTTACACTGGCAGAGTAACGGGTTCTAGGAGCATGTGCAGGGCAGGTAGAACCAGGAAAACTGGAACGTTTGCCGGGGCCAGGTCTCTGCATGAATTCCTTTGAAACGAATCCGAAGCCTCACGTCTAGGTTTGCGAGTACATGTATCGTGTCCGGGATCACCCTAGTGCCGGAACCCTCAGCCCTGAACACTAAGCCCTGAACCACAAGCCTAGTTCCCCCCATTCCTAGAGGCACCGGGCCCCCCGCTCCGCCACCATTTAAGCGGCTGTACCTCCAGGGAGAGTACGTTTAAAGACTTGGGAGTCTTGAATTTTTGGGGGCTCTAGGGTCTTAGAGGCTTACAGGTTTAGGGTGGGGGGGGGGGGTCTAAGCAAGGTGTTGAGACGGCACGCTACTGAGAGCAGACATCTCCAGCAGAAGACGGGATGAATACGGACGGATGCTGCAGCACCATGGTACCTGCAGTGTATTGACTTTGCGGCCCCAAGACCAACCAAAGGCAAAAGAGTCGGTCCCCGAAGAACGTCCGCATGAACATGAACAACCTCCGTGTTCAGAGGCAGAGCGATCATTGCCTATCTCATGTGTACAGCTAAGCATACACAACATGTAGCACAATCAGCATGATAGGATAAGATAGTCTAGCATGGTGTAGTAGACTATCTCGAGGCACGCAATGGCACAATGCAGCGTTGCACAGCACAACAGAACAAAAGACAGTACGATAGGGTATAGTCAATTGCGAAGTATAAACTATGGCACGGCAAAGTCTATTACTACAACAGACATAAGATGAGGTGAGAGTAGATGATATAAGATAACCAAAACTGCATAGGATAAGTTCATGCTAGAGTGTATGTGAAGGATGATGTATATGAAGTGGTTCGACCATGTAATATAGTAGAATATACTGTGACATCATAAACAGAATAGTTCAGCCGAGTCTAGTACAGACGAGTAGTAGTATAGACAAGCCAGTTCCAACACGACATGGTATCATATAATATGCATGAAGTCCACCTACACATACCACAGACGAATTACCATCCTCGTCCTTCATCACAGTATTCTGTTATGTTCTTAAATCATGGCGGGGAAATTCGGAGCCTGAGGAACCCCAAATTAACCCCTAAACAGTGGGGTTTACTAGAAGGGCTTCTACATACCGCACCTCTAACTGTAGTGAAACCCCCCAGCTGTCTTAAAGAACCTCTTATAGGACGGATCCTTAGAGCACCCTTCCAAGGACCCCTTAAGGGGGCACCTGTCCGTCTGCGCCATGAAGCGGAGAAACGCATCGGCACGGGATTCGTCGCCCTCTGCCTGCGAGGGGACTCCGAAAGGAGTAACAATGTCCAGTAGCCAGCCGGGGTTTTCGCAAGCTGAGGCTCCTTAAGGATCGAATATATAGGGCCTGAATAATTAGAACAGGGTTTTGGGGTCCTTCATAGTATAACTATAATAAGGAACCCCTCAACAATAATATAGGTAATTATTGAGGCCGCCATATTAATCACTTGGGCTCTATCTTTGGGGGCACTCAGTCTCTGGAAATCTCCCTGTGGTAGCTGCTATGCATGTTCATCACTGTACCAACACAAAAACTATCCTGATCCCAACATAGTGACATACTGTTGACGGACAAAATCCTGCATGACCCAAATATAGTATAGTACCATAAATCCCATAGATTAGGTATATAAGGTCATGCAGAATTTTGTCCATCAACCGTAGTGCTGGCAAGGCAAGCACATTTTCTAGCCAATGCGGCGATCGAAAAGATGGCTGCAGGACCTGACCATAGCAGGCCCTGCTGCAGCGGGGAGCATACACACTTTTTGTACAGGTGATCGCGGAAACAGGGATTGCATCTTGGAGACTGCTCAGTTTGAACTCGAAAAGCAAGCGGCAAGCCTCACACCCTCGCTTGCTTAGCTACCATATTCTTGAGAAACACGGTTGGGATCAAGGTCTGATGCATTCTGATGCAGTCCCTGCCGCGAAGCACAGACATGAAACACAAGGCAAACGCCCGATGGAAGCATGGAGGCGTGGGCTCTGCTGCGTCCAGCCCCCCCTTACTGCTGCAGTTTGGGGGGAAGCTTGACAACGCCCAAGTGCCTTCGCAACATGTGCGCTGTGCGTGACATGCTAGTGGAAAGGAAGGACAGGGTCGCATGCGATGGCTTCAAAACCAAGTCCTCGGACTTTCATTTCGCATAGAAGACTTGTACTCGCTGATGCTGGGGCTGAACACTCCTATTTCCACACAGGAGGTTGGCCGGCCCTGGTACACAGTGTACATCAGTTTGCTGAGTGAGTGCAAGATAAGGGCTGCCTTCACACTGAAACAAAAGAGATCCGCTCCTACACGCCCGGCAAACCTGGGCACCTGAGCACAATAACCTGAACATGCGCGCATGTAGGGGAAGACATGTTTCCTTTGCATTCAAGCTGCCCACCCCCCCCAAGCCCAGAGCCCTGACTCATAACCATACTACGGTTGCTAAGAGTTTCTGCTCTCATTGCTACTATTCCACACTCCCCCAAACAAAAACCTTTCAACGCAGGACCTGAGGGAGTCGTCGAAAGGCCCGAGAGAAGCAGTGGCAAATGCTGGCACCTGGCACGGGCTACGAACTCGTGCACTCGGTGAGGCTCGGCTTTCATCGAAGTCTCCGGTAGCTCTGTGTTTTCAATATGCTATATAGGACTTTCAGTGAGGACCAAAATGGTTTCTTTAGCTTTGAGAACCACGGCCGCCAAACTGCTTGGACTCCCTCGCCTTCCCTCTGGATGGACAACCAAGTGTCGCATGCAGGAGATACATCCGAGCCTAGCAGCCTAGCATCCGATCCAGAAATGCTGGCTTCAAGCAGCAGGTGCCACGGCTAAATCAAGTTTTCCACCCGCTTCCAGAAGGCAGTCGATCGCATCCAGGCGGAAGCAGCAATCAACGACCACTCTCTGTGCCAGCAGCGACCTGTCAGGCTGTCTGGCACGGCTTGGGGTCTATGGTGCGGGACTTGATGTTGTTCGAGTACAAGGGCACATGCGACACCTTTGAAGATCTTACAGTAGGGTGTTCCTGGATATCTACATCGCCTCAGGCGCAAGGCAGGTCGGCCACAGAAGTAGGTAGTCTCCATCTACAGCGTTCCTTGGAAGCATTGGCTCAACGCATTGGGGTTGCAGTATGAGGCACTTCTTATCGGGGCCATCGATGACGACTATCGGCACCTGGGATGTTGAAGCTTCGTGGGGCTTCAGCCAGACTCCGATGGAGAATCTTGCCTCCTCATTGGTCTGAGTGATCTGCGCGGCAGCTAGGAGTGCAGGCAGTAACTCTGGCGCCTGAGTTGAGCTCAGCAGAATTTCACACCGATTTTCAGAGGCTCAGATTGAGGTTGAGCACTGAGGATTCCAATGCAAACGTGGCTGGCTGAGGAGTCGGACTTGGCTTCGTGATCTTCAACCTTGCTGAAACTCCGCAACCTGAGCCATAGCTTTTCTACATGTCGGACCTGTTTATTGCCTTGTTCTTGGATCAGGACATGAAGCGGGCTTGCTGCTTGAGCATCGCTTGCTTCTTAGAAGCCCGCGTTACACAGGCTTCTCTGTTGCTATCGGTTCGGGGCGTTTCCTTTCGTCCTCCATCACCTTTCGACATGGGGTTCACCGGGAGTGTTTCTGCAAAGGCTTGCAGTCACCCTATGCTGCCAAGATTCCACCTCCGCCTGGAAACAAGAGCAGAGAAGATGGCTCACATAACATGCACGCAGCGCTCCAGTGGCCCACAAGTAACTCTAGACATGACCCAAATGCCAAACTGTTCTGACATCCTGAAGCTCCAGCTACCCTCCGGTGAACCATCGCAATGACTGCCAAGGCCTCACAAGCTGCCGCAGCTGCGGCCACGGCTGGCGTGCCAGCGCGACTGGGCTTGGAAGAGCAACGAACAACGAAACGCGACCGTGGCAGCAAGTATTCTAGAAGTGGCACTGACACAGATCATCAAGCAACCTATGTCTTTCCAGGAGAAGTGGACATACTCGTCTATACTGAGTAGAACAAACCTGCTTATCCCCATCCTGGGAGGTTGGGTACGGCATGTGGACGGCTTGTGAGTAGAGGTAAGGCCAAGCAGCTACTGCGATGATGAGATCTTGGGCTGAGCCAGTGGGCTCAGTCACCCTGGGCCTAAGCTAGGCCCGAAACAAAGGCGGGTGGCCCCATTTTCGAGGTGTAGTGGTGCAAAGCCAGGCGCGCCGCCTCCGTCAAGCGGGTAGTGCATCTGGGATTTAGCGTTTCGGTCTCTGAGATTTCGAGTGGATGCCTTCAACCACTAGCAGAGCCCAGCAGCTTCAGGGTCAATCCCAGCCACGACACACCCCACCGATTCAATGGGTTCATCTTCCGAAGCTGTTTGGCGACGAGGCACCCCAATTTCCATGCTCTACGAAGCGAACACCGTGTGACCATGCCGTGGTGGAACGCTGCCTGCTTCCATCGCCGTGCCCTCGCGGCCGCATGTACCAGAGTTCCCATGCCAGCAGCATCCTGTCTTTGTCGAGTCTCAGGTTATCGGGTATGGGGTTCTCGATCGTAACGGATGATTACGGGATTTCTGGGTCTCGTAACGACTTTGTAAGAACTTACGCAGTGGGGCTTTACTCACTTCGCGGATTTCAGGAGGCTTTAGAGCTTGAGGCGTAGGGTTCCGGGTTTCAAGTTTGAGTTTGGGGGGCTCGGCTTTATTTGGCTTTGAACAGGAAGAGCTCAGGTTCAGCGTCGCACTCTTGCAGGGGAGCCCCTGTGCACATGCATGTGTGTGGTGTGTATATATATATACATAGGTATGCATCTATACATATATATATATATACATATACATATATACATATATACATATGTATATATCCACACAAATGCACCCAGGACACATATGGATGTATGTATGTATGCATGTATGTATGTATGTATGTACGTATGTATATGGTTATGGTATAGGATATATGGTATATGGCATGATATGTATATGCGTACTACCGTCTGCAGTGTAACTATCGGAGGCAGGGATACTTCCTGGCGAGGACGAGAATCTTGACTCTACAGGACCCCTGCAGCCCAGGTCTTGCAAACCTGCCGTTCTGGCTCCTTTCAACTCTGACATCTGGTTAACAACGGGCTCGTGGGGCTTTTCAGATTCGATGCAAGGTGCAACTTCCTCTAACTCAGCCTGTCCTAGGCAAAACTTCAGCCACGACGTTGTTGCTGTTCATGGGCTTTTTCATTAGCCCTCCATCAGCAGCCGTTACGCCTTCCTATCTGGGCCACCTCCTGCATCCCACACCGACGGAGCTGCGCAGAGACCACCATTGCAGAGCTCCAAGCGACAGCGCCTCTGGCAAGGCTCCCGTTGAGGGAGTTGGGTTCTGCTTCTCGTTTAGGCCCCTTGCTGCATGTCCAAGAAGGCAAGGAATCTACGGGCTGAGGCTTCTTTCGGCTTCTTGGGTTGAAGAACTGCCAAGGGGGGACGAGATCTTCGGAGCTTTTTTCGAATTTGGCTCCGCGCTTCTCGGGCTAGGATGGTGCATTTGCGCTGACCAGTTGCACAAAATGCGCTGAGTAATTCTATGTAGCGCAATTTAGTGTCCATCATCCACGGCTATCTGTTCATCTGTCTTGCTTCCTTGACGCATGCACACCTACATCCATCCATTCATTCGTGCGTACATGAATAAGCACATGACGCAGACACACACACACACACACTCACAAACCGACAGACAGACAGACAGCCAGGCAGGCAGGCAGACAGGCAGACA